ACTCTCGTGAGCATAAGAAAAGCACACTTTTGATTCTTTTTATCCTAAATTAGAGAGCACTATTCTCTCTCTCTCTCTCCCTCCCTCCCTCTCCCCTCTCCCCTCTCTCTCTCTCTCTCTCTCTCTCTCTCTTGTCTCTCTGATAGCTTCCCAAATTCCCAAAGGACTCTGCCTATAAATATGTATGATGGCGTCTCCAATTTCTTAGGAAAGAGCTATCGAATGCCGAGCAGAGTACATTGCTTGAAAATGCTAAGCAACCTCTCTACAGTGTGCCCTAATTATACCGCAGTTACATCGACGAGGTCATTTAATCAGGAATTTTTTTCTTGCAAATTTACTTGCAAACTCTTTTCGCGATTAACATCCTTGATTTAAAGTTACTTTAATCTACTTGACCTTATTTTACAATTTTGTCCAATTAACAGAAACAGATAACACTATATATTTAAACTTGATATACAATTACGTTGCAATTAGATAAGTTAAAATGCAAATTATCAATATAAACAAATACATTTTATAGTTTTCATTATTATTTCAAGTAGTAAAGGTAATGTCTTAGTGCCGTCGAGGACATTAAAACGTTATTGAGACGTTGTTTGACGTCATCTTGCTACTTGAGATAGTATATCACACAGCAAGAAGTAAAATCTCTACTTATTTCATTTGTTGCTTACAATGTAATTACGGTAGATTTATTTGATTTGAAATTGGAAGTTATATGTGTAATGCATTACTTGTGATTTCTTCCAGCGTTAAGCCTGCTATGCGTAAAGAAATTTTCCGGCAGCGCGACAATGCTGGAGGCGCCGCCCGGAAGTCGAGAAGACCTCGTAGAGGCAGCAAGAACTCCTTGTACACCCACCGGTAGGTGACGTCGGCGCTTTATCATAAAGTTCGAAGGGAGTTTCGGTAACTCACGAAATTTATTAGTCCGCGTAAACACGCTCCGTTATGGTTCTGCGAGCTCCAAAATAGATGGCCACGGCTTGACGCCATTGTACATTGTTGATAGTCGTGATTACATGAAAATGTGAGCGAATAAAACTTGGCGAATTAAGAACTTTGCCGTCGTTGTGCGTTCAAAGCAAAGAAAGTATATTATCGAGTTATTGTACCAATAAATTTAACAAATAATTCAAATAAAGGTTTTAATGAGGTTTTAATGATTAATAAATTTAGTCAAATATGTCAGGGTTATTTCATGCGATCATATATCAATGCAATTATACTAAGTTGAATAATAATAAATGAAATTATAAAATAACTTTCTTGTTGCTTCAACTAAATTTGAGAATTATATGTCGAGTTAGGGAATATTATAACAGTCTCATACAGGCAAACACACATATACACGCATACATCCGCGCAAGAAGTCATTTAAGAAACGAGATTATAATGTCAGAAATTTTCCGGTACTAACTCGATAAGCACAAATCTCTACATCATCTATTCATGTCCATCCTTCAAACTTTATCACCGCATCACGACAGCTATCACTCACCTCCGAAAGGCAACCTTACAAATTTCCGCCAACTAGGACACAACGAATTATTTCCTCGTTACGTTTCAGATTACACTTCGTGATTCCCGTCCTTGCGAACGCAATAAATTAATTTCTTCTTATCTTCGTCTCTATTTGATAATTACAGTTTTGCCCGATAACGTCGCTAGAAAATTATCATCGAGAAATTTTCCATCATAATCGTCCCTCGACGTATTCATTCTTTGTACCGGTGTCGTAAAAGTATTCTATCGCGCGGAGGAGGAGGGCGCAGATCGCGAAACATCATTTCCTTTCCTAGACCGATATCGCCGACACTGGCGGTAATTGACACCGTTTTCACGGCTAAACCGCTTTCCAATTTTCCCCTTATTTTCACGATGTAATAACTTGCCGAGCCTAGAGTAAGTTTAGTCAAGGGATGGATCAAGGGGGTGAAAAGGCTATTGGCGGCGGCTACTAACGGTACAT